TCCGGATGTTGGTAATGCCAAACTGCAGTACTTCTGCACTTCCCTGGGTTCTCCATTCATTACACACTCATGTATTTAGCAACAGAACACCACTGGTGTGAGAGGTTCTCTGCTCAATAATACCAGAGAAGGAGAAACAGACGGCTGCTACCACTTCAACTTTAGGACAAAATACCAGAGTCCCAAAAAGAAAAACACAATTTGAAGTCATGGACAAAAGATATTTGGATCTAGAGAACAGCGACTGGTTTTTAACGCTATCTCATTCCGTCTGGCATCACGGGTTTCCAGTAGCGGTTGAAACTGATCCAGTGAAGATACCTGTGTGTTCCCTGACCATGTTTGCATTCAAAACCTAGCTTGTTTGCAGATTTGCTATAATAGCTTTAAGTATTCAAGGTCTCTGAAGAGGTAAATAAAATTTAAGCAACTGTTTTTTTTTGGTCAGAAAAACATCATACAAAAATGAAACTGTTTATTGTCATTGCCAAAGATTGGTCACAGCCTTTTACAATCCCATCAAAAATATTTCCATGGATATGTTTGCATTAGTTTTTCATGAATACCTCAGTTACACATGACAGTGTTGTGAAGCTGGGAGCCCGTTGGTTTCTGCTCAAGTCCTTTAGACCCGAAGTTCTGTGGACTGAGAGGGGTCTCTCAGCAGGGGCTGGGAGTGTGCCCTGTACACAGTAGAGGCTTGGAGCCCACCACTGGGGAAGGAGCCGGTGACCACAGTGTAGAAGTCAGTAATGTGTTGCCCCCTCCAACAGTTGCTCACCCACTCAGTTTTAGTCTTTTTCAACAAAGGAGTTTGGGAAACAGACATTGATGGAGGAGTCTCGGACCTACCGCCATGTTTCACCATGGGGGGTGGATTGGACACATACTGGTCTAGCATGTATTTTCTGGACCAATCAGGTCATTTTCTCCATGCTCCGACCTAAGATGTGGTATTGTCACAGTGGTGCTGACAATGAGGCAACTCTGTTTCTGATTACGAACATTGTCGTGTGTTACAGCATCGTCAGAAATGTGCCTAGCTCAGCTCTGGGATTTGGATGACAGCTGCTGTGTACGAGCAATAGACGAAGTTCGGGGCCAAGGATGAATTAGGAGAATGTGTCAGTGGTCTAATTTATGAGTACAGGCAAAGGAATCTGTCTGCGGTCTGAATCTAAACAACATTGAAACCACGTTTCCCAGATTGAGGCCGCAAGTGCAGCGCGAACTGCCTCGAAAGGCAACAGCCATCAGGGTCCGATTCACTGAAAATGTAAGTGAAAAACACTTCTGGTGGTGGTTTCAAAACGAAATCTACGGGGGTGGGGGGTGGGGGGGGGGGGGTGCACAGTTTGGTGCACGGGATTGAGGGGGAAGGCAAACACAGAGGTCCCCTACCGGGCTGGTTTCTACGGTGACCTGAGAAAGGCCATAACCAGGTCCGGCTCTTTCTCAGGCCTAATCAGCTCATTACCACAAAGAAGGACATGTGTTAAGCCCCCCCACCTCTCAACCAATCCTACTCAATCCGAATAGCGTGGCTGGACACAGGCAGCCAATAAAACCGGGATTAGGAGGGTATCTAAACACATTGAGCCTGTAGAGAGAAAGTTTCTGAACACGCCCTGTTCTGTCTCTCTTTCCTCCAACCTTTCACTCATTCCTTTGCCTCTTCCTTTCACCGCTCTCATCCAATAAGCTCTTTACACAAAGGAGCATCCAGGAATTACTCATTTTGTTGGAGTAGTTAAGCAAATTCCTAATGCCTCTTGCCCACCTCCCTCCTTTGTACTCTGGATCCTGTGTTTTGTGCAGTTCTGATATTGAATTGTGCTCCATCACAATGACAAAGTTGTGTTTGGCTGAATTCATGTAGCAGAGATGGAGACCTTCGACTTTGCTTGTGCCTCCATCTGTTGAGGAGTCCTGAATAATTAATACCTGATGACGAGGTCCGATTGTCGGGCGTGTTCTGTCTGTACAGGAAGTAAACTGTGTTTGCTGTCAAAAAACTTGGAAGTTGTATGCCACTCAGACTCTTTGTCTCAGAGTCCTCCTGGAGATAAAACTGTGTTAAAGATAATGCAAATGCCGTTGTCAGGACTTTTTAAGACAAATGACAAGAGCTCAGCCCTCAAATAAATCTTTTTCATTAGAGCAGCAAACACTTCATCCCTCTGCTGTGTGAAGGACACTCAGCGTAAAGCCGAAACCCACAGTGGTCTTCAGCCGGACACCGAGGCGGCCTAATTAAAGGGCACTTAAGCCCTACAATGTGTGGCCATGCAGGCTGGAGTCGGTCCCCGCCGACAGGGACCCATAAACAAGGAAGGACGAAGAAGAAAAAGAAGGCTATGTGCCAGAGACTTTGTTCACACAAGATGAAGAGTCAACAGCCTCCCCATCCTCACCCCTCCTCAGCCATCCCCCCTAATAACCAGCTTCTTCAGAGGAGCAGCAAACACAATGCCGTCCCACTCCCCTCCTCTTGCGCTCAATCACCAATGGGACAATGAAGGGAAACCCCCCCCCCCCCCAACACCACCATCACCACCTTCACCATCATTCTGCCCCTCCCCGCCCCTCAAACAGACACTTCTTTTATTGAAATTCTTTGGTGTTCTAATCCTCAGCTTCCTCCAGGGGTAATAATGGACTCCCTGCATCAGCCTTTTCCAGCAAAGCTATCATCCAAGCCCGCCTGGGTCACAAGTCCACCCCTCCCATTAGAGAAAAATGCCCCCGCAGTGTCTTTCCTGTCACAAGCAGCTCACCCATGGGCTATGAAGATCCCCAGCTCCATCAACCTTTAAAACTTGTCTCGAATAACAAGCAACAGAAATGATCTCAACATTCCTCCGGTACATCTTTACCGGAGCTGCAATTCATTGACATATATTCCCTGCCTATTTATTCTCTTTTATCCACAATTTAATTTTTTAATTTCATTAGAACAACCCCCCCCCCCCCCCCCCCCCCCCCCCCCCGGCTACACTGCTGTCATGTGTTTACTATTAAGATTAAAAACTCAAGCAAATTAATGTTGCATAATATCAGGGCAGACGTCTTAAAGAGCTGGAAATATAAAACAGGGGTTGTAATAAATTAAGAAGTGTCCTGGAATTAATAATAAACACAGATGCCATGTGTTGTGAAGCTTCTATTGACTTGTGTGGCCCTTTTTTCATGTTCTTGTTGTCAGTGATTTATTTCATGAATTTTACGTAATACTTCAGTATAAACATATAAATATGGTTTTATAATTTAGTGTTTAGCTTACTTTTATTGCTTGCAGGCTAATTTATACCCAACAAGTTTCAAGGGAAGCTCAGTTTACAAACCATATATAGAGTATTGTCTGTGTTCACACATTAGTTACAGTTACAAACCTGGAGCGCCTGCATACAGGATTATAGATACCAGTTCAGTGAGTTGAGGCTGACATCTACTGGATTCTTACAGTCAGCGCCAACTGTTAGTTCACGTATATATACAGAGAGACAGACAGACAGACAGACAGACAGACAGACAGACAGACAGACAGATAGATAGATAGATAGATAGATAGATAGATAGATAGATAGATAGATAGATAGATAGATAGATAGATAGATAGATAGATAGATAGATAGATGATAGATAGATAGATAGATAGATAGATAGATAGATAGATAGATAGATGATAGATAGATAGATAGATAGATAGATAGATAGATAGATAGATAGATAGATAGATAGATAGATAGATAGATAGATAGATAGATAGATAGATAGATAGATAGATAGATAGATGATAGATAGATAGATAGATAGATAGATAGATAGATAGATAGATAGATAGATAGATAGATAGATAGATAGATAGATAGATAGATAGATAGATAGATAGATAGATAGATAGATAAATAGATAGATGGATGGATGGATGGATGGATGGATGGATGGATGGATGGATGGAAGGATAGATAGATAGATAGATAGATAGATAGATAGATAGATAGATAGATAGATAGATAGATAGATAGATAGATAGATAGATAGATAGATAGATAGATAGATGATAGATAGATAGATAGATAGATGATAGATAGATAGATAGATAGATAGATAGATAGATAGATAGATAGATAGATAGATAGATAGATAGATGATAGATAGATAGATAGATAGATAGATAGATAGATAGATAGATAGATAGATAGATAGATAGATAGATAGATAGATAGATGATAGATAGATAGATAGATATGTGAGAGAATAGAGATGACACCCCCCTCTCTTTCTTTAATTTATTTGACTTCATTCCATTTCACTGCTAACCTTTTAGAAGTTCATTATAGCTCGACTTCTCCCTGTGGACTGTTAATGAGTAAACTATGTAGTAACAACATTTCGCCACAAGGGGGCACAACGAACACAGTGTGTACTGCTGATCCAACGGTTCAACGGTTAATTCAGTGCTGCTTGACTGTTGGAGAAGACGCTGCTCATTGCGCTCTCGTCTGTGTTAACAGGTAAAACGGCACAAATAACACAATAACAGCAATGAAGGAGATTGGGTAGAAGTCCGGGGTAATGAGGGGAATGTTGGCCGTCTATCCCTGTATGTTTGTTTTGTAAAATGTTAGTGTTATATGGTAGCGTGAGTAAGCTAACAGCTAAGCTAACTTTTACCAGTTGTACCAGGACTTAGTGATGCTGCTATAAATGTTGTGTGCTTGAAAGGTGTGAGCTGTATCTGACTTGTTTTAAGGTAAAGCTAAGGATGTGAATGTTTATGTTAAGCGTTAAACGGTTCAACGGTAAATTCAGTGCTGCTTGACTGTTGGAGAAGACGCTGCTCATTGCGCTCTCGTCTGTGTTAACAGCCAAAGATGGAATAAAACCCGCAACAAAACACACTGACTAATCATTCATGTGTGCAACAAATCTGGTGGCCCGTACGGGGATTCAGCTGTGCTTCAGGGAAGACAAAGTGAGACTTTAATACATCAGCCATGGAGTTGGAGCAACTGCAGGATAAGTTAAGTGAGACCCTTGTGCAGTTGAAAATGGACCAGCTCCAGGAGGTGTGTTTGTATGCGAAAGTCCCAACTGAAAATCAGACCAAAAAACACACGCTGATCCGTTTAATAAGTGAAGTTGCTGATATTGCTATTGAAACGGAAGAAGAGGATGTGGCTTGTGAATTCCTCAACAGACTGATAGCAAACGCAAAAGCAATGCAAAAAAATGAGTCGATGGTGGTTGATGAGACGGCTGAAAGAGATGTTGCTGCCCTTGAAAGCCTGCAAAAACAATATGCAGCATTACAGCTAAGTTTTCAAGCTTCCACTAAGAAATTAGAAGAAGAAATGGCAAGGTTGGAAAAGAAGGTGAAAATTCAGGGACCATATCAGCTTCCAGCACAATTTGCAAATCCCTTTGCAGCTAACACCCCTGAAGTCACTATAAGAAGAGAGTTCAAAATTAATGGCCAAATTGGAGAAAGGGGCCAGAGAGATAAACTTTCCTATTCAAATCTGATGCACCAGATTGATATGGGACTTAAAAGAAACTACAGTGAAGAGGAGATCATTGAAGCCGTGGTTAGATCTATCAGTCCAGGCTTACCTCTTCGTGATATGCTAGAAATTAAAGCAGATCTCTCCATTGCTCACTTGCACACTATTCTAAGAGGCCATTACAAAGAAGATAGCTCCACTGATCTGTACCATCGCCTAATAAACATTACACAAGATAGTAGTGAGTCTCCACAAAACTTCCTGTTCCGGGCAATAGAGTTAAAAGAAAGACTTCTTGCTGCATCCAGAGAGCCTGGCTCAGAAGAGGACTATGGCCCAGAACTGATTCAGAGGAAGTTTCTGAGAGCAGTGGGAACAGGGCTCATAAGTGATAATGTGAAACACCAGCTCAAGAACTTTCTTGATGATCCCACAGTAACGGATAATGTGCTAATAGCCAAGACAAATGAGGCTGCTAGCATGGAATGGGAAAGGCAACAGAAGTTCAGGAGGAGCAGCAAAGACCTGAAAGTCAGGGAAGTACGAGCAGAAACACATCCAGTCCCAAAGACAACAGTTGGAGCTATTTGGGAACAAGAACAGCCTTCTTCCACTGGGATGAAAACTAAAGCAATGAAAACACAGTCATCTGCCTCTCACACAGAAACTGAGCTTCTGCAGGTTATCAGAGAACTTAAGGGTGAGATACAAGACATCAGAAAACTTGTTAATGATACATGTGTGTCAAGACCAAGCAGGAAGCGTGGCTGTAAAAATTGTCAAGACAACAACAGGGGAGAGATGTGTGATCATTGTTTCAAATGTGGACAAAGTGGACACCTATCACGGGGATGCAGACTAGTTAAAAAAACATCAGAGAAGACGGATGAGGTGGGGATGTCAGTGAGCCGTGTGACATCAATGCCAATACCAAGAGTTGACAAGACTAAACATGAGATAACTGGAAATAGCTACAAGTTAAGAACAGACAGCACACAGTATTTGGAGAAAAGGATAATGGGGGAAGTTGGACCAGCCACATACCAGGTAAATGAAATGGTTGGTGTCAATCTTCTTTCCTCAACAGGAAGAAACCAGCTCCTAAATCTGATTGGAAAGAAGTGTACCATTACCTGCCTGCTGGATGGGGTGGAGACCAAGGCTCTGTGGGATACTGGATCACAAGTATGTCTTATGAGTGAAAAATGGAGAAAAAAAAATATTCCCCATGTTGCTATCAAAAGCCTCGCTGAAATTATTGGGCCTAGAATATTAGATGGGAGGGCAGTGAACAAGACACCAATTCCTTTTAATGGGTGGGTTGAGGTCAAGTTCAAATTGCCATCTGCTAGTCACACACATCTTGAGCTCTTGGTGCCAGTTCTGATTGCTGAAGAGGATGGGGTGGGTGAAGAACCGATCATTGGGTTTAATGTAATAGAACACCTGTTAAACATTGGTGTAGACCCGCCACCCCTTATCACAGAGGCTGTCAGTGCAGCATTCTCCATTGAATGTAAAAAAGCAGAAGTACTTCTGAAAGTAATGGGAAATGCCAATGCTTTACAGAACACAGGCACGGTGAAAGCAAGTAGGGAGAACATCATTCCAGCTGGCCAGACAAAGATGGTAAAATGTGGTGCACGAGCAGGCCCACTCGCAGATCAGCAGGGAGTCCTGTTTGAACCCCTGTTACCATCACAACTCCCAGAGGGGTTAAGAGTCAAAGAAGGAATAGTGTGTCTTCAGCAGGGTCCCTGGTCCCGTCTCAAAATCCCAGTCAACAATGATACTGCCCATGACATTGTTTTACCCTCTAAAAGCATAATAGGGCAAGTCCAATTAGTTAAGACCATGTATGCCGCACAGACAGAGTCAGCCCAAATACCACAAAAAGACATGCCCACTCCCAGTTGTGAACCTGGGAATCCAACAGAATCAGAAAGGACGGGAAAGGGAGAGGAGACCCAAGGGGGAGTTGAAAATGATGGTAGCTGGGATCCACCCGTTCCCATTAGTCACCTGTCCCCAGCACAACAACAACTGGTGAAACGACTGCTAAGAGAGGAGTGTGCAGCGTTCTCCCGGGATGATTATGATGTTGGAACGATCCCGTCACTGGAGCTCAAAATCAGACTACAGGATCCAACACCTGTCACAAGGACATATGTATCGGTCCCCAGACCTCTCCACAATGAGGTGAAAGAATATCTGGAAGACTTGTTAAACAGAGGTTGGATAACAAAGTCCAAATCCAACTATTCAAGCCCTATAGTCTGTGTACGTAAAAGGGACGGTAGCCTCAGACTGTGCTGTGATTACAGAGAGTTAAATAAGAAGTCTCTTCCCGACCGTCATCCTATTCCCCGCATTCAAGACATACTGAACAGCCTGATGGGAAGTTCCTGGTTTTCTGTTCTGGACCAGGGAAAAGCCTATCACCAAGGGTTTCTGGAAGAATCAAGCCGTCCACTCACTGCATTTATTACGCCCTGGGGTCTCTATGAATGGGTCAGAATACCTTTTGGATTATCATCAGCACCAGCAGAGTTCCAGAGAGCCATGGAAGAGTGTCTGGCAGGACTGCGGGATGAGGTATGTTTGCCTTACCTGGATGACAATTTAGTGCACTCCAAAACATTTGAAGACCACTTAAAGCATCTGAGAAAGGTATTGCAGTGTTACCAGAAAACAGGAGTCAAGCTGACCCCAGGAAAATGTGACATTTTTAAGAATCAAGTAAGATTCCTTGGAAAACTGGTAACAAAAGATGGTTACACGATGGATCCTGCAGACACTTATCCGGTGCAGGCTTTGAGACAGAGAAATCCCTCCACGGTGGGAGAGCTAAGAAAATTAATGGGATTTGTTTCCTACTATCGCAGTTACATACCAAACTTCTCCCGCATTGCTAAGCCCCTTTACGATCTTCTCTCGGGAGGCCCTGAGGAAGGAGAGAAATACAAAAAGAAAAAAACAGGAGGATTGAAACAAAATAAGAAGAGTGGAGGACAGTTATCCTCATCTCAACCAATCAATTGGTCAGCAAAACATCAGGAGGTGCTCTGCCAGTTATTGGATTTTCTGTTAAAACCACCGATATTGGGATATCCAGATTTCGAACAGCCCTTTATCCTACACTGTGATGCTTCACAGGAGGGACTTGGTGCTGTACTTTACCAGAGGCAGCAGGACACATTGGCTGTGATAGCATATGGATCCAGGACACTGACTGCCCCAGAGAAAAACTACCACCTTCATTCGGGGAAACTGGAATTCCTGGCCTTGAAATGGGCCATATGTGAGAGGTTTAGGGATTACCTCTATTATGCCCCCCCATTTACAGTTTACACAGACAACAACCCTCTTACATATGTGCTTTCCACTGCTAAACTGAATGCTACCACTCATCGATGGGTCGCTGAACTAGCTGATTTCCAGTTCTCTATAAAGTACCGACCCGGCAAAGTAAATGGAGATGCAGATGGTCTTTCTCGAATGTCGCTCAGTATGGAGGAGTACATGCAGACCTGCACACAGACGTTGCAACCCGAGGTGATGAACAGTGTTATCCAGGCAGTTGCTGCTCAGTGCCAGGATTCTGCACCCTGGCTTTTCCCAGCAGTGATTAACCAACTGATTACAGAAGAAGATAAGGCAGTGGCGACATCAGTAAGTCAGATCAGTAAAGAAGCGTTTAGACAGGCACAACAAGATGATCCGGTGATTGGTGAGGTATTGCAATGGGTAACTACAAAGGAAATGCCAAAAAGTTGGAGACACAAGGGTAGTGGGGGGATAACCGCTCTGATGAGACAAAAACACAGACTGTATGTGGATAAGGATGGACTACTTCATCGCAAGACAGCCAACTGTTCACAGCTTCTCCTCCCAAAGAAATATCATCCACTTATTTTTAAGGAACTCCATGAGGAGATGGGTCATCTTGGAGTCGAGAGAGTGTTAAACCTGATCAGGAACCGTTTCTATTGGCCTCATATGCAGGGTGATGTTGAACACTATGTCAACCGTGTCTGCAGTTGTTTGAAAAGGAAGCGGCCTAACAAACCACCTCGAGCTCCCCTCACCAACATCATCACTACATACCCTTTCGAGTTAGTCTCCATTGACTTCTTACATTTAGAGAAATGCAGTGGAGGGTATGAGTACATCCTGGTGGTGATGGACCATTTCACCAGGTTCGCCCAGGCTTACCCCTGCAGAAACAAAGCTGCCAAAACAGCAGCAGAAAAGATATTTGGGGATTTTGTGTTGAGGTTTGGTTTCCCCACAAGGCTTCATCATGATCAGGGGAGGGAGTTTGAAAATAAGCTATTTTCAACACTGGAGAAGTACAGCGGGGTCAGGGGGTCACGGACAACACCGTACCACCCTCAGGGAAATGGCCAGGTGGAGAGGTTCAATAGGACACTGCTGGCTATGCTGAGAAATCTGCCAGAGATTGAAAAAGCAGATTGGAAATCTTCTCTAGCAAAAGTGGTCCACGCATACAACTGCACCCGTAGTGAAGCCACTGGGTATGCTCCCTATTTCCTCTTGTTTGGTCGCCAACCCAGACTCCCTATTGACCTCATGTTCGGCCTCAGCGCGGGGGACCAGAGCTCATCCCACCAAGATTATGCAGGAAAATGGAGAGTCAGAATGAGTGAAGCTTATCAACTGGCATCCAGCACAGCCAGTAAGCAGGCAATGAGAGGGAAAGCTCTTTATGACCGAAAGATACATGGAGCAGAGCTGTATCCAGGATGCAGAGTACTGGTACGCAATCTGAATGAAAAAGGAGGACCAGGGAAGTTGAGAGCATTCTGGGAAGAGCAGGTGTATGTTGTCAAAGAGAGGAAACATGACAGCCCAGTATATGAAATCCAACCAGAAAGCGGGAAGGGGCGAGTTAGGGTTATCCACAGAAACCTACTGCTGCCGTGTGATTTCCTTTCAGCTGGAGACTTAGAAATTCCCACTCAACCAAAGAAAAAAAAGAAAAAAGAAGAGACAACGAAACGCCTGGAGACAGTTCTGAGGATGAGGGAGATTGGGAAGCGATCATCAGCCCATGTCAGCAGAATCATGACATGGAGTCCAATCATCATACTGAGAGTCCGCTTAGAGCAGAGGCACCAGAGTTCTGCCCAAATGTTGGGGACATGCAAAGAAACTGGACTGAGGATGATGTTGGGACAGGATCACAACCAACGCTGGGAGGAGACGAACATGCATTACTGGATGGCAATGTCCAGTCAGGGACCGTGGAAAGCGAGGAGCTACCTTGCATTTCAAGCTCAAATGATGATGAAGATGCTGACACATCACTTTACAGGAGGTATCCTTTCAGAATAAGAAAACCTACATTAAGGTTTACTTACCATAAGTTAGGGCAGCCTGTTATGTCAAGTGAATGAGTTAAGAGAGCTTATAGAGAACATGTTTGATCAGCAAACTCAGTTCTCATGCAGTTTTGCTATTTTCCTGTCATGGGTTCAAATATTTTGCTACAGTTTTGTTTAGGATTCTGGTCAACAGGTTAGAGAATAGTGGTACTTGTGAGGTCAGTTTAAACATTTTTTTTAAGGTTGAGTATACTTCTATGTGAGTACCTTACTCTCAGAAGAGATTGCAGATATTGACGCTACAGGCGAATCAAGTGGTGGATAGTCATCGTGCACAATGACATCAACTGCGGAAATATGACATTAACGGGAGATATGTGTCATATTTTAAGACTGGATACAGCATGGCATCTCTTTCTACAAATGAACTCTGACTCCTGATTAGATGTACTCTGCATATATGTAAAGCATTTGAAGGATATGTGAACTGATTATTACACTGTGTTAGTGTTCGGTACTTGAATGTCGGGACGACATTACATTTTTGAGGGGAGAGTGTGAGAGAATAGAGATGACACCCCCCTCTCTTTCTTTAATTTATTTGACTTCATTCCATTTCACTGCTAACCTTTTAGAAGTTCATTATAGCTCGACTTCTCCCTGTGGACTGTTAATGAGTAAACGATGTAGTAACAACATTTCGCCACAAGGGGGCACAACGAACACAGTGTGTACTGCTGATCCAACGGTTCAACGGTTAATTCAGTGCTGCTTGACTGTTGGAGAAGACGCTGCTCATTGCGCTCTCGTCTGTGTTAACAGGTAAAACGGCACAAATAACACAATAACAGCAATGAAGGAGATTGGGTAGAAGTCCGGGGTAATGAGGGGAATGTTGGCCGTCTATCCCTGTATGTTTGTTTTGTAAAATGTTAGTGTTATATGGTAGCGTGAGTAAGCTAACAGCTAAGCTAACTTTTACCAGTTGTACCAGGACTTAGTGATGCTGCTATAAATGTTGTGTGCTTGAAAGGAGTGAGCTGTATCTGACTTGTTTTAAGGTAAAGCTAAGGATGTGAATGTTTATGTTAAGTGTTAAACGGTTCAACGGTAAATTCAGTGCTGCTTGACTGTTGGAGAAGACGCTGCTCATTGCGCTCTCGTCTGTGTTAACAGCCAAAGATGGAATAAAACCCGCAACAAAACACACTGACTAATCATTCATGTGTGCAACAGATAGATAGATAGATAGATGATAGATAGATGATAGATAGATAGATAGATAGATAGATAGATAGATAGATAGATAGATAGATAGATAGATAGATAGATAGATAGATAGATAGATAGATAGATAGATAGATAGATAGATAGATGGACGGATGGATGTATCATGTATTGTGCAAAAGTTCACTATTTCAATAATTCAACTTAAAAGGTAAAACTAATTTAAGAATTATAACTGTGATGATCATGGTTTACAGTTTATGAAAGCCTCACATTCTAAATCTTACACAATTAGAATATTGTGAAAAGGTTCAATATACACACTCTATTCAACTATTAAATCTAAAACACCTGAAAAGGGTTCCTGAGCCTTTAGATGGTCTCTCAGTCTAAGCTGAAGTACTGAAATGAATGGACTTTTGCACAACATTCAGGGTTTTTTTTAGTTTCATCTGTAGCTGACAACCATTTACAGCAAAACTCTCTTCGGATAGGGGTACCTCAAAGATGTGTTTTCAGTTCTTTACTCTTCATTCCACTTGTATATTGTATTTTGAATTTAGCACAAATCAGACTTTCTTTCTGCTTTCTTTTTTCTTTTTTGTTTTTGTTTATTTGACAGGGACAGTGCATGGCATTCAGACATACCAGTATTAACTTTAAGCAAAATTTCATTTGTAGTCCCTGGGCAGGAAGAAATAAAAAACGTCGTCATCGTCATCGTCTTCCTCCGCTTATCCGGGTCCGGGTCACGGGGGCAGCATCGAGCTCCAGACCGTCCTCTCCCCGGCCTTCTCCACCAGCTCCTCCGGCAGGACCCCAAGGCGTTCCCGGACAAGATTGGAGATGTAACCTCTCCAACGTGTCCTGGGTCGACCCGGGGGACTCCTGCCGGCAGGACATGCCCGAAACACCTCTCGGGGAGGCATCCAGGAGGCATCCTGACCAGATGCCCAAGCCACCTCAACTGGCTCCTTTCGATCCAGAGGAGCAGCGGTTCTATTCTGAGTCCCTCCCGAATGTCCGAGCTCCTCACCCTATCTCTAAGGCTGAACCCGGCCACCCTACGGAGGAAACTAATTTCGGCCGCTTGTATCCGCAATCTCGTTCTTTCGGTCATTACCCAAAGCTCATGACCATAGGTGAGGATTGGGACGTAGATCGACCAGTATATCGAGAGCCTGGCTTTCTGGCTCAGCTCCCTCTTCACCACAACAGATCGGCTCAGTGTCCACATCACTGCAGATGCTGAACCATTCCGCCTGTTGATCTCCTGATCCCTCTTACCCTCACTCGTGAACAAGACCCCGAGATACTTAAACTCCTCCACTTGAGGTAGGACCTCTCCCCCGACCCGGAGTTGGCAAGCCACCCTTTTCCGGTCGAGAACCATGGTCTCAGATTTGGAGGTGCTGATCCTCATCCCAGCCGCTTCACACTCGGCCGCGAACCTACCCAGCAAGAGCTGAAGGTCAGAGCTGGATGAAGCTAGGAGGACCACATCATCCGCAAAAAGCAGAGACGAGATTCTCCTGCCACCAAACTCGACACACTCCACACCACGGCTGCGCCTAGAAATTCTGTCCATAAAGGTAATGAACAGAACCGGTGACAAAGGGCAGCCCTGACGGAGTCCAACCCTCACGGGGAACAGGTCCGACTTACTACCGGCTATGCGGACCAAACTCACGCTACTCTGGTAAAGGGACTGAATGGTCCTTAACAGAAAGCCACCCACCCCATACCCCTGGAGCGTCCTCCACAGGGGGCCCCTGGGGACACAGTCATAAGCCTTCTCCAAATCCACAAAACACATGTGGATTGGTTGGGCAAACGTCCATGCCCCCTCCATCACCCTTGCAAGGGTATAGAGCTGGTCCACAGTTCCACGGCCAGAACGAAAACCACATTGCTCCTCCTCAATCTGAGATTCAACTATCGATCGGACCCTCCTCTCCAGTACCTTGGAGTAGACCTTTCTAGGGAGGCTGAGGAGTGTAATCCCCCCTATAGTTGGAACACACCCTCAGGTCACCCTTCTTAAAGATGGGGACCACCACCCCGGTCTGCCACTCCACAGGAACTGCCCCCGATGACCACGCAATGTTGCAGAGAAGTGTCAACCATGACAGCCCTACAACATCCATAGCCTTGAGATACCCAGGATGAACCTCATCCGCCCCCGGGGCTCCGCCGCTGTGTAGTTGTTTGACTACCTCAGCAACGTCTGCCCCCAAAATTGGACAGTCCATCCCCAGGTCTCCTGGCTCTGGTTCCTCCTCGGAATGAGCATAGGTGGGATTGAGGAGCTCCTCAAAGTATTCCTTCCACCGTCCGACTATAGCCCCAGTTGACGTCAGCAGCTCCCCATCCCCACTGTAAACAGTGTGAGTGAGTTGCTTCCTTCCTCTCCTGAGGCGCCGGACAGTTTGCCAGAACCTCTTTGGAGCTGATCGATAGACTTTCTCCATGGCCTCACCAAACTCCTCCCACGCCCGATATTTTTGCCTCGGCAACTGCCACTGCTGCACCCCGCTTGGCTATAAATAAAATACAATACAATTAATCCAGCAGCACATATACTGTAATACATCATCATGTCAAACAGGCTTTCAGAGTTCTACACTGTTAAAAGTCACAATAAAAACACAACAAAAAATGTACAGTAATATAAAACTCAACAATACAGTGTTATACACAACACGTGAAAAGTTGGAATTAAAATATTTCACATCGCTGAGGTGGAATAGATGGTGAACAGGTGTAGAGATAACAGCCTGACCCTGCCAACAAAACTAAAGAGCTGATTGAGGATTTCAGAAAACTGGATGCTAACAGTTCCCCTGTACTCAACCACACAAAGTTTAGAGGTATCCACATCATTATCTGAGAAATCTCAAACTTTTAGTCCATGCTGAAAAGCTGCTTTAGTTTGCCACAAGCAGATTCAAGCTCAGAAGTTTTTAAATGCCCGAGTTCTTTTACAGTTTTTTCGATTGCTAAAACTCAAAAAGCAAAAATGAGGCACAATTTTCACAACCTCTACTTCTGCTCCCAATCGCTTGACTCAATTTATCACTACTTAAGATTTCCTTATCATACCAGAACTCTGATTTTCCTCCTTTCCACTCTGATGTCAATTTCACATTACCTTGCTGTCAAAATACAGCACACAATTTTCTGGTTTACACACACTTCTCACATAAATTCTCAAAACTTCAATCAACAACACACAAATATTCAAATCTCTAAACTTTCGGGTCTGGCGAGCAATTTGCAATCAGGGACTGCAGCATAAAAATAAATGCTGGGGGGTTAAAAATAAAATGTTTTGTCTCTAAATTTGTGTGATGTCTAATATTTGTCTATGAGAGAAGTGGCCATTGTAATAGATTCAGTGTGTTCCATTTCTCTAATTGTGATTTCAGTTTTGCTCTTCAGTGTTCTTTCCATGCTTGGTAGTGTTCACGCAAAGGCTACTTGTGTTGATTCAATGAATGTTATGTGTGTGTCATGTGAAAACGTGGCTGTGTTTACCAAATGAAAACACGTGTTCCATTTTGTGAACATGTTACGAGATTTGATGGCAGAGTTGTTTTGCAAAGGGATGCCAGGGTTTAGCAATTTGTGTGTGATGTTTGGGGTTTTGTGTGTGCAGTTTTGAAAGAAACGTACAGTTTTGGAAAACATGTTTTAGCAATCGAAAAAAAAACTGTAACACAACACAAAAGATAATTCTGCAAGAAAGCAATAACATGTGAGTGCTGTTGAGATAAGATTGTCAAACAATGAGTCAGTGTGTAGATTAATCTACATTATCTTTTCCCTCTTTTTTAGGTATTTTGTCTAATTTGATTGAAATAAATTTTAGTTTTTAATTTATGAATATGGTTTGACAGAGACATCAGTTAGTAAAACATTAAGTTTTGTTTTGTGATTGAAAGAAAGTGATTGTTCGAGGTTCTACCAGTAACACCATTTGGACCATATATGTTAAATAAACAAGGGACATTGAACATCTCATCAGCCTCCTAATGCCAAAAGTATCCAAGTGAAGGTTGGATAATATAAAATTACATGTGGGTGTTGAGATTTTCT